GAGCTGCACAAAGAGAAAACCTAAGAGATCTACAATGAGCCCACCCTTATGTATTTATCAAAGTACTGATCAGCACAGACACATGGGAAAACTACCCAAGTCCAGGGTAAGAATCACCCTGAGGTAAGAGTACCTGTAAGTAAAAATGCCTATTCTCACCAGCCAGACTGGAAAACTTCATGGGGCTTTGAGTATATAGAAGGTTTTACTGAAGCAGTGGAAAACAACCCTAGAATGGACACTGTTCAAGCTCACATCTAAAAAAATCTTAAAAGCAAGACCCAAAGAATCAAACAGTTTCCAAGTAATTTAATAGCATCCCAGAACAACACTTGGGTATATTTAGAGGAATATAAAAATACCCAGGATGCAACAGGATAAAACCCATATGAAATTTAAAATTTCCAGGCATATGAAAAAGTAGGAAAATATATCCCATAATGAGGAAATAGCTAATTGAAACTTAATAAAAAATGACACAGATCATAGAATTAACAGACAAGGACATTACAAGAGTTATTTTAAATGCATTCCATATGTTGAAAAAGTTCAATAGAGACGTGGAAAATATAGAAAAGAACCAAATCAAACTTTTAGAGATGAAAAATACAACGTGTGGAGTAAAAAATACACTGGATCGGATTAACTGCAGATTAAACATAACAGGGGAAAATAAGATTAGTGAACTTGAAGCTATAGAAACTATACAAAATGGAAACAGAGAGAAAAGAGAATTTTAAAAGATACAAGTAGAGCAATAGCGAGCTGTGGAACACCTTCACGCAGTCCAGTATATGTGAAACTGGGGTTCACAAAGGAGAGGAGAGAGGCATGGGACAAAGAAATAGTTTAAAGAAATTATGGCAAAAATTTTCCAGATTTGATAAAAACTATAACCTTATAGATCCAAGCAGCTCAAGAAACATGAACAAACTCAGGCATTAGAAACATGAAAAACTACACCAAGGCATACCATAATCTCACTGGTCAAAACTGGTTTTATAGAGAAAATATTAAAAAACGAAGAGAGTAAAGGCATACACATGCAAACACACACACATTACAAAGAGAGGTACAAACATAAATGATGGCAGATTTTCCGTGGGAAACAGTGCAAGCACGAAAACAATGAAGCAACATCTTTAAAGTATGAAAGAAAACTGTCAATCTAAAATTCTGCATCCAGTGAAAATATCTTTCAAAAACAAGAGTGAAATAGACTTTTTCAGACACAGAAAAGCTGAAAGAATTCATCAACAGCAAACTCACACCACAAGAAATGTTAAAGAAAGTCCTTCAGGAAGAAGGAAAATGATACAATATGGAAGTATGGGTCTACATAAGGTAATGATTAGCACAAGAAAGGTAACTACTTGATTGAAAATATTAGATATTTTTCTTATCTAAATCTTCTTGAAAGATAATTGTTAAAAATAATAGCAATGTAGTGCACAGTTTAGAGCATACATGAAAACAAGATGTATGATAGCAATAGCATAAAGATTGGGGGAAAGAAATAGAAATATACTATTTTCAAGTTCTTATACTATATGTGAAATGGTCTTATACTAAATGTGAAATGTGAAATGGCATTTTTACTTACAGGCCTGCCTGGGTGCCAGGCGCCCTTACCTCAGGGTGATTCTTACCCTGGACTTGGGTAGTTTTCCCATGTGTCTTATACTGCATGTGAAATAGCATAAAAGTTGGGGAAAAGAAATAGAAATATACTATTTTCAAGGTCTTATACTATATGTGAAATGGTTCTTACACTATATGTGAAATGGCTGAAGGTAGTCTTTTTTATAAGTTAAAGATGTGTACTATAAGCCCTAAAGCAAAACTAAAATAACAAAAGAAAGAGTTATAGCCTTAAGCCAAAACATAAGGAGATAAAATAGAATTATGAAAAAATGTTCAATTAATTCAAAAGAAGGTAGAAAAAGAGAGCAGAACAAAGAACAGGTGGGACAAATAGAAAACAAATATCAATATGGCTTAAACCTAATCATATCAACAATCTTATTGAAAATAAATGGTCTCAACTCTCTAGAGTTTGTCAAACTGAATTTTTTAAAAAAGCAAGTCCAAACTAAAACATTGCCTACAAAAAAGCATTTGTTAAATATAAAGACTTGAATAAGCTAAAAGTCAAAAAATGTAAAAAGATAAAACTTACTAATAAAAATAAAAGTTGAGTGAATACATTTATATCAGACAAAATAGGATCCAGAGAGAAGAAAATTATCAGAAATAGAGTTATTTTGCAATGATAAGGGGGTCCAATCATCAAAAGGACATAACAATCCTAATGTTTACAGACCTAATAACAGAGGCCAAAGTACATAAAGCAAACTGATAGAAGTACAAGGAGAATTAGACAAATACACATTTATAGATAAACACTCCACTCTTAATAATAGAGAGGAAAATTATACAGAAAATCAGGACAAATATAGAGGAAGTTTGATCATGAATGAATTTCAAAATAATTATACTGTTTCAAAGAAGCCAGACCAAAAAAAGAGTACCAACTATATGATTTTGTTAAAGCAGAACTTGGGGGAAATTTAAAGTAATAAATAGCATATAAAACTGTCTCTATTCACAGAAAACATGATCATCTGTGTAAAAATTTGATGAAACCTAGAGTAAAAGCTATTAATAAGTGAACTTATCAAAGTTTTAGGATTTAAGATCAACACATAAAAATCGATTCAATTACTGTATACCAGCAACAAGTAATTGGAAATGGAATATTTAAAATGCCACTTATAATAGCATCAAAACATACAAAATACTTAGGAATAAATCACACAAAAATATAGAAAACCTGACCACTGAAACCCTCAAAACATTGTTAACAGAATTAAAGAAAAACAAAATAAATAGAAAGAGGTAAAATATGCATTAATCAAAAGACTCAATATTGTTAAGATGTTATTTATCCCCAAATTGATCTACAGATTCAAGCCGACTCCAATCAAAATGCCAGCAGGCTTTTTGCAGAAACTGAAAAACTGAAATTCAGAAAACACATATGCAAATGCAAAGAACCTAAAATAGTCAAAAACAACCCTAGAAAAGACAGAGTTGGAGAGTTAACACCATCTGATTTTAAGACTTCTTATAATCAAAGTAATGAAGAGAATGTGACAATTGTATAAATACATACCAATAGATCAGTGAAGAAACACACATATATGTTTCCAAACCCACACCTATATGGACAATTGTTTTCCACATTGGTGCAAAGGAAATCCAACAGAGAAAGAATAGTCTTTTCAACAGTGATGCTAGAACTGGGTACCTATAATCAAAAAGTAAACTTCAATCCATACCTTGTACCACATGCAAAAATTAACTAGAAATGGATCATTGACCTAACTGTAAAAACCTAAAGTTATAAAATTTCTAGAAGAAAACATGGAAGAATAACTTTTATAACCCTGTGATAGGCAAAGGTTATTTAGATACAACAAAAGCACAGTCTATGAAAAAACAAAATGAAAAATTGGACTTTATCAAAATTTTCTGCTCTTCTAAAGATACTGTTAAGAGAATGAGACAATAAGCCACAGGCTGGGAAAATATATTTCCAAACAATATACATGATTAAAAAATTTGTATCTAGAATACATAAAGATTCTCAAAATTCAGAAAAAATTTAACATAATTTTTAAAAGAACTAAAGATTTAAACAGACGCTTAAGCAAAAACAATATATATATATGAATGCAAATAAGCATATGAAAAGATGCTTAACATGGTTAGTAATTAGAGAAATGCAAATTAAAACCACAACGAGATACTCCTATGCACCTATTTGAATGGCTAAAATCAAGATTAAAAAACAAATCAGTAGAGGTTGGTGATACCAAGTGTTGGTGAAGATATAGAGGAACTGGAACTCTCACACACTGATGGCAGAACTACAAAATAGAACAACAACTTTGAAAAATGGTTATCAGTTTTTTAAAAAGATTACCATGAAATCCAGCCATTTCACTCTTAGGTACTTACCCCAAGGTAAATAGAAAAAAAGTGTCCATTATAAAGATCTGTACACAAATGGTCATGTGAGCTTTATTTATAATGGCCCAAACTGGGAAAAATCCAAATGTCCATCAACAGGTGAATGGATAAACAAATTATGGCATATTTACACAATGGAATACTACTTGGCAACAAAAATGAATAAACTATTGATACATGATACATCATGACTGAATCTCAAAATATTTATGATAAATGACAAAATGAGTATAATCTATATAGTTCTATTTATATAAAATTCTAGAAAGTGCAAACTAAGGTACAGTGACCAAAAGCAAATTAATGATTGCATAGGGATGACAAAGGTATGAAAGGGTTAAAGGAAGGTGCAATGGAAAACCTTTGGGGACAATGTATTTCTATATATTAGCAACAAACAACTGAAAAGTGAAAGAAAGAAAGCAGTATCATTTACAATAACATCACAAAAATACCTAAGAACGTTATTGTAATGCAAGACCACTTCCCTGAAAACTATAAAACATTTCTGATAAAAATTAAAGATTTGAATAAATGGAAAGAGAAACCACATGCATAAATTTGAATTTTCAATATTGTTGTTATCTATTCTGCCCAAATAGATGTATACATTCAACACAAACCCAATAAAATCTCAGTGATCTTTTTCAAAGAAATTGACAAATCAATTATAAAATTCATATGGAAATGCAAATGACCTAGATTATACAACATATTATTTTAAAAGGACAAAGTTGGAGGACTTAAAACTAGCTGATAAAGCTATCAAGACAGTGTGGTATTGGCTTAAAAATAACATGAACAAATAGAACAGACAGTTCAGAAATATACCCACAGCATATATGGTCAATTGATTATCAACCAAGGTGCCATGTAAATTTATTGGGGAAAGAAAATCTTTTTGCAAATGATTCTGGAATGATTAGATACCCTTATGAAGAAAAAAGGTAAACCTCAACTCCTACCTCACTCCATGAACAAAAATTGATGTGAGATGGGACATAGATCCTCAAACAAATGCTGGAACCATGAAGCATCTAGGAAAAAGCATAGGACAATATTTTCATAATCTTAGACTTGGTAAGGATTTCATAGAAAGAACAGATTAAACTGGTAGCCATAAAAAAGAATGTCTTGTCCTTTAAAAATATGAAATATTATTTAAAAAGTCCCTTTACTACCATCCACAATACTGTCTCCCCACTCCCTTCTTCAATACAATAAGCTCTTTATAATTAATTATTGTTGGTAGTGGCATCAATATTGTGTTATTGGTGGTGGTTGTAGCACTAGTGGTAGAGAAGAAAGGAGTACTAGTAGAGAACTAGTACAGGAGGAGAGAGAGGAGGAAGAGAAAGAGAACAGGAGGAGAATTTAGCTGTTCCTCTACTAAAAGACAAATATGAATATTTCCAGTTTCTTATTATTGCAAACAGGATACAATAAAAAGCCTTGTACATGTTTCCTTGTGCATTTGAGCTAGTATATCTTTACAAAAGTGGAATTTGGTGATCACAAAAAATGTTCTCAAACTGCTTATACCTAATTAAAGTCGATGAGTACATAAGGCATTTAGGGGAAAAAAAAAAAAAAAGATGTGGCTTCTGTAATACCACTGCAATTGATTCCCTTCTTAAAGTATAGTAAATGTTTAGTTGTGGTTTTGAAAATGTCCACAGTACATATCATGAAAAGAGTGCCTTTAACTCTGTCTTCAGATGCCATCTGGATATAGTTTCCCCAATAACCTCAGGAAAATCACAAATGTTATCAGAGGTAGAAATAGCCTTCAACCAATTTTGCATTTTACATACAATGCATCTGAAGCTCTAGTCCAAACTGATTTTCCCAAAACTATAAGCTTGTTAGTGAAAACCTCAAGGGAAGAATTCAGGTCCACTTATTTTCAGTTCACTATTTTTATACTACAATGAGCTGCCTCCATAAAGCAACAAGGAGGGTTTAAAAAAAAAAAAAGAGTACTCCTACTGTCATAAATATCGTTTTATTCCAAATTCATCAGGTTCAAATAAATACTACTACTTTCATAAAACATACAAAGATAATTGTTATGGTCTCTCTCTAGCCCTATAAAATTCTAAAAGATCTTCTGATTTAAAATATGTTTTACTATTAAACATGGCTCTTAGAGTTTAATTTTTTAAAATTGACAATCTACGAATGCTAGTAGAATGAGTCTATATTTATCAGAATACTATTAATAAGTAGAAGCTTAATAAATTATTTATAAAATCAATAAATTACATATTAAATGTACACTATATGCAGTACTGTATTGGGTGCTCTGGAGCACACAGACATTGCAATTTGGCACCCATTACCTACCCTGCAGTTTATTTGTGCTACTTAGTGGTTTAACTCATAAGATATGACATCGGAAATATCTGGGTTTATACGCTGGCTCCACTTCCTTGCTATGAGATTTTGGCCAAATAATCAAACCTTTTTAAGCTTTGATTTCTTCCTCTACAAAATGAAGTAATAATATTGCCCAGTTTATGAGTTGTAGTGAGTATTAAATGAAATGAATTCGAAGCAGTCATCATATTGCTTGACACACAGTAAGTGGTCATCAATACATATTGGGTGACATCATCATAATCACCATTTTTATCATCTTCTTCTTGACATGATGGTCTAGGTCTATGTGTTAGTTTGGGTCTCTAGAAAACACAGCCTGGATCAAGATTAAGTGGTGGTGCTTTCTTTGGGATGTGAAAACCAGGGCAATGAAAGTGAGGAAAAAAGGGAAATGAGGCAAGAAAGGATGGAAAGCCATGCAAAATGACTTGTTAACATGCTGGCCACAGCTTCATGATGAGTCGTAAAAAGACAGAGGAAATCCTTCAGCAGAAGCATCTGCTTGGTCATACAGGGCTTCTTCAGATGAGCCATGTGGCTGTGTGGTTGGAATTGTCCATGGAAAAGAGGAAGAAGGGGTCAGGGATTCTTACTTTCTCCCTCCCATCTTCAGTTTCCCAGTGACCAAAGTTTGTTCCATGGGAATTAGCACACCAGACTTCTGGACTGTGTCATCCAGCTCTTCAGGTGGCCACTTAAGATGCCAGATGCCACACCCAGGACTGGGATTCGTTCAAGTCTAAAGAGATGAGAGGAGTCAGAAACTGTGAGTTCTAGTCAGTAAACCTGACTACACTGCAGAAACCACAGAGAGTAACAGTGGTTTCTATCTGAAATAGTACATAAAAACTGTGTCAGATATGCTCTGGTTCTCGCATACCAACAGCCTGAAATTAGAGACCTCTCATAAAAGTGTATTAGTCGGGTTTTGCTATAATAATGCTGCATAAGAAACAACCACCAAATTTCAAGAGTTTAAAACCAACAAAATATTTATTTTTCCCTCACAGGTCTGCAGGCTGGCAGTGGATTGGCTGAGCTCAATTAGGCTCAGCTTGGCCAACGTTCAGGCCGGTTCCTTGCATCTCTGATTCTGGGACCCTGGCAAAAGGAACTGTGGCTACCTATGGCATGTTCTTCTCATGGCAGATTGTAGGTGCTTAAAGGAGGCAGATGGAAGCTTGCTGTGCCTCTTTAAGCCTTGGCTCAAAGCTGGCACACTATCACTTCTGTGAAAAACAGCAGCAATAACTCACAAAATCAAGCTTATAATCCACATTGTTCTAAAATCCCTAGCAGTGCCACTAATCAAACCAATCCCCAGTATCGATATTTTCTATTTCTTCAGGATAATCTATATTTATTAATAGCCAAAGTAGCATGGGTATTTATTTTAACAAATTTTGTTTCCATAATCACATTCTGAATCCTTTGAGGTGTCACTTCTTCTAAGGCATCTTCTTTGTACTAAAATTTGATTATTGAACACAATTTGGATTTTACGTCATTAGCAACACCCTTTGCTCCTATTAACACACCCAGAGACAAAGGACACCTAGAGAAATGTAGAACTCCAAGTACTATGCATTCATGAACTGCAATTCAAAGTCCCTAGGCAATAGGGTTCTTGATACCAAGAATAACCTAGCTGTTCCGTAGCCTTCTTCCAAGCGCCATGTGTTTGCTTAGTTAACACACTAAACTTTTTTTTTTTCTTTTTACTATTGCCAGCATTGCAAAGTCAAAATAGCTGTGGAGGAACAAGCTGTTCTGCCTCATGTCTCATCAACATTCCTTGTTCAGTGTATCAAAACACAGAGAGCATAAAGAGCAAATGCAACAACTCCAAAAAGTTCCCTATTGGGGATTTGCTTCCTGTGAAACTATCCACAGCTGCCTACTCAGAACAGCAGAAGAAAGGTGGGTCTCCTTGTCAAGTCCAAAGGAAGTCACAGCAAGCAAGTATGGATTTAAACTCTCATCTTGTCACTTGAAAAACAAAAATCAATTATGTAGGCCCGCATGAACTAATATCAAGTTAAAGCTTGCAAAAAGTTTTCTTGCCAAAAAACCAATTTAAAATTATCAGCAGAAGTTATACTCCAAGTTCATTAAAGAAACAAAGTCATTGAACTAATTCTAACCCAAATCACCTTACTAACCTAGGAAGGATTTTCATTTCAAACAGCAGCCATATTGCAAGCTGTCCTACGCCAAGCACATAAGATGGGTCCGTATAAAGAAAGCTAAGAGGAGAGACTGATAAGATGATCATTGCCACTTTCATTCAGGTCACAGTTCAGCTAATCAACTTTGCCTTTAAGACAGAACAAAATAAATAGGAGAAAGATGAACCTATTTGTCCACATTTGAACATATATAAAATCAAATATTCAATGTATAGTCTTTCTCCTATTCATGATCTTGTAATTCAATTAATATCTATCCCAACAAAATAGTTTCTATTTGCATAGTCAAAACATGAAATTCTCATTTAACATGACGACAGTTCAGAGTTAGGATAATATTTGAACTAATACTTAATAATTACTACTATTATAATTTACAGATGAGTCATAATAAAAATAGCCAAAGAGAACATTTGCCACACAGTAGTGATTTTTATAGAATACTGGAAAGAAGTTGTTGCCTTTCCAATAAAAGCCAAGATGATCTAAACCACCAGTCCGCTTTACCTCTGCTTCTACCTTCCTGCAGCATAAAGGGAAGAAATCTCTCCCAGGTGTTCTTTCCAAATGGCTACAGTAGACAATGGCTGTAGCTACAGTGCATAGCTGTAGTGCACTGTAGTGCAATGGCTACAGTGCATAGACACAGGGGTGATAGCCACATGCCCTATGTTCCAGCCATGCATTAAGTCCAGAAAGAGAGACAGCCAGAAGAGGAACAGTATGGTAGGAAAGACAATACACTAAGTCTAAACTTGAGCAACTGCAGATAGAGAAACTGATAATTCTCTGATCGCAGAGGTCATGCCTAAAACAAAACAGGTCAACTCAAAGTAGATTATGAGGATTATTATTTGGTACAGAATTTACAAGAGAAAATGGTACAGAGCCAGGTGACAAAAAAAGAGATTATGAACAAGATAGACCTAATCTTTTCTATATCCTCTCCTTGCTTTAAAATGTTTCACTTATATTTTGGTGATGAAACATTGAGTCAACACTAGCACCTCATACTGGATATAACAGCATGCACCTTTTTAAAAATTTGCTGTTTTAGTCTTTATGTAGATAATTCCTCTACTTATTATGGTAAAAAGCTATGCTGCTATAATTAAAACACCTAACAATATAGTGACTTAAAAAAACCATTTTGTGTCTTACACCAAACAGCTCTGAGGACAGCAATGCAATTTGGTGGGACAGTTCTGCTCTGTTCCATCATTTGAGATTCCAGGGCATCACTGTCACCTAGACGGTTGAAAATGGATGACCAGGGATTCCAGCTGGAGGAAAATGGAAGGCATGAAGGAGGCACACCCACTGCCTTCAGGACTAGGGTCAGAGTTTAGACACCTCACCTCCCCTCACCTATTGGAGAGAACTTAAGCACATCCAAACGCAAAGGACTATGGGAAATGTGGTCTGGTCTTGTTTTTTTAAAGTCACTATATTGGTGGGTCTCTTTATTATAGAAGCTTATCCTTTTACTCTAATTTATGGGCACATGAAAGAAGAGAATAAATTTTATTGAACAACTAGCAATCTCCATATTCCCAAAGAATGCCATGAAAAAAAGATGATTTTTATTAGTACCTTTAAGAATCTGTACATAAAAATTATTTCTGTTCACAATCTGTTCCTAAATCACAGGAGAAAATTCAATGGAAGGAATTTCAGAGATAACCTAGTTTAAACCTCTAACACATGAGAAAACCAAGGCCCAGAGGTGTGAAGTTGCCTGCTTAAACAGCTGATAAGAGAAGCAGGAATGTTTATACATTCTCAGCCCAACATTCTTCACAGCCTGGCATGAATTAGCTAAAATATGCACTTGCCTAAGTCATCCAAACACCTTCAATAAACCAAAAAATGTTGGGCTCCAAAGGAGGTTTTTTTCCTCCTCCTAAATTAGGTGGTTTAGCTATCTAGCCAATTCAGAAGCCCCAATAAATGCTATGCTCTATTTTATATTTTAATGTAAATAATTTATTTACATCAAAGAGGAATTGGGAAGTATTGGGGGCTGTGCATTTAGCAGCATCCTTGGCCTCCACCTACCAGATGCCAGTAGCAACCCTCCCACTCCCCAGCTGTGACAAGTAAAAATGTCTCCAGACATCTCTAAATGACCACTAGGGAGAAAATTACCTCCAGTTGAAAGTCACTAATCTACACTGTTAGGGGAAAAAAAATAATTAAGACATGGAAAAAAGATCTCAGAGAAAGTTACATGAATGAGCAAGAATGTGCCACCTCCTTTCCACCACAAGGGGGAAGAAAAATAAAGAGCTAGAAAAATAATCCTCAATAATGAGAACATGCATCAGTAATAAACTCTGAGCCATTCCTTAGGCCAAGTTCTGGAGAGGTGGCAACACCACCAAATAGGTTTGTGGGGTTCGAGAACAGAGGGAATTTGCAAACTATTGTCCTAGTTTAAAGTCCTGGGAGATGTTAATATCTCAGAGAAGAAATAGGTGCAGGCCAACTGGGAGACAGCTTAGGGATCAGGGACACCAGTGTGGCTTGGTGATGTCAAGGATCTGATGGTCCCCACTTCAACATCACATCTTGCTGCTACTTAAAGTAACTCCAGAGAAAGAGGAAGGATTCCCCAAATTTAATAAGGTTAATTTTCTGCTACTCCAACTTAAAAAGAGGCTGAATATTAGTTTCCCAGGGCTTCCATAACAAATTACCAAAAAGTGAGTAGCTTAAAACAACAGAAATTAATTTTCTCATAGTTCTGGAGGCTAAAAGTCTGAAATTAAGATGTCAGCAGGGCTGAAGTCTCTAGGGAAGAATCTTTCTTTGCCTCTTCCAGCTTCTGATGGTTGCCAGCAATCCTTATCCTTCTTTGACTTGTAGATGCATCTCTCCAATCTCTGACCCCACCTGCACATTTCTCCCTGACTCTGTTCACGTGTTCCATTCTTCTTATTAGGGCCCACCCTGATCCAGCATGACCTCATCTTAAGTTGATTATATCTGCCAAAACCCTATCTTAAAATAACATTACACCCACAGACTCCCGGTGAACACAAATTTGTTTATTTATTTTTTTTTTTTGCTGAGCCACGCGTGCGGCATTTGGGATCTTAGTTCCCTGACTAGGGGTTGAACCCACGCACCGCACAGCAGAAACGTGGACTCTTAACCACTGGACGGCCAGGGAAGTCCCTGAACATGAATTTGGGGAGGGGCATTATTCACCTCAGTTACGGGTTACAATAGAAGTTAAGCAAGCTTTAGAAAAATAAAATCATACCTTTTGCCTGCCTGAGTTTGTGGCTTACACTTTGTACCTATCACAGACAATAAAGAAAAAAGTGTAACTCTACCAATAATGGCTAAAAATTGTATGTTCTAGATCTTGAGTAATAAACAATTTCTCCACTATGGTTCTGAGGAAGATTCAGATTCTTCTTCCAGCATAAAAGACAGCTATATTGTAACATGTGTTAAATCACCCACTATAAAGGAAAATCACTGACACATATAATTGGCCCTTAAAATCTTTTTTGAAAGGTTAACTTGAATTAAAA